TTCGCTTTTTACAAGGGTAAAAACAATTGGATTTCTGACAATTTTCTTTTACTTTTTAAGTGAAAATAGGTCGATGTGTACATAGATAAAGTCAGGGGTGTGCGCAGTGCCATTTTTGTGCAATTCTGGGATTTTTTTTTAAAGTGAAAATAGGTCGATGTGTACATGGATAACGATTATGTGCAATTCTTAAAAACGCGTCAAGCAGTGAGTGATTCTGCACTTTACTCAAAATTCTATTAGACTTTTCATCACGGGAAATACCCAAATTCTTAAATCCATAGGATATCAAAAAAGGATTTAAAAATTAAATTAGTATTTCAATGGCGTCTTACGAAATATAGAACTATATAAACTTATATAAACTTACGCAATCTGAAATCAGAGCGTACGCTAGATTTGGCATGCTGTTAAACGGCGCGTTAACTAGATTTGGCGCTTTTGCGCATACATTGTCGCTGCAATATTTTTACGGTCCTCAAAACGGAATACAGTCAAAAGTTGTTAATTCGGACACCCATAATCCGGACCTCAAAGCTACAAACTTTCTGCGCATGCATCGCGTTGAAGCATATTCGCAGCCGTAAAAGCCGTAAGACTTTTACGGCTGCGAATATGCTTGTGCGCATGTGCGTAATACGTTTACGCTTGCGCGTTTAATGTATAACGGATGGTGTAAGCTAAGCTAAAATTATCTAATTCAGTTAATGTTGCAGATTGCATTGTTCCTGAATCTTCGAATTGGATCCGGCTTATTATTTTTTACACTGTTAGAGCAATTTTATAAAAGTAAGCTTGAACTTTCAATTATGTCAAATAGAATTTCCGAAGGATCTACAAAGCGAAAGTATGTTTAGAAGTCCATTAAACAAAAAGTGGAATTGCTGCAAAAAAATGAATAAAGGCATATCCTTCGTTTCTCAAACCATTCCGAAATCTGTTTATCAATTTCACGCTGCTCTCCGGCCCGGGGGTGAAAACGCCGAAACGCCACGGCGCGCAATGAATGGAAGTTAATCTGCAGCCATCCTTACCTTCAGCCAGTGTTTTTTTATTTGCTTATAATTCTTCTAAATGTAGTATTTCATCTCGATGTACTCCGTCTTGATATGATTTAAATCAATTCCTCGCATTATAATTGCTTTGATAAAGAAGAAAGGATACAGAGGTTATTGAAAACGAAAAATTTTTGATTGACAAATTAGTCGTATTCTCGACACAGCAATATAGGATTTTAACGCGGAACTTGTAACTGACGAAGAAAATGATGTCTGTTTATAGAATTAAGAGAAAGTATTATCACATAAACAAGCAACTTAACAACTTGCATTGAAAGAAATGTTAATAAAGTAACAAATAATATTAAGGTTTTTTTTTTTGTAAATTTTGATACCCTTTAGTCATATTGTTCTTTATTTCATAAATTACGGTTCATATTTTGAATTGTATAATTCTGCATGCCATCTACCAGATTTAACTGATGATCTATAATCCGGAAAATAGATAATCCGAATTGCCGAAGTCCGACGAGTCTGGTTACACTTTTGACTGTAGTCCTTTTTCAACATCTGCTAGCCGAATTACGCTATGCTAGAACTTTTATGGAACAAAAAGTGCTTAATCATGATGAAGATAGGTGCAAATTCGGAGAAAGTGCAGATCGCAAACACTGCTTGCCGCGTTTTAAGAATTGCCACATACACGTATCCATGTACACGTCGAATTTTCACTTAAAAAACATCCCAGAATTGCACAAAAATGGCATTTGCATACTCTTCATTTATCCATGTACACTGCTAAAGTCCTAGCTAGTACCTTTATCGCCTTACCAAAATGTCGCCAAACTACTGTTACCATATTCAAAGATTAGCCACCAGACTTGTGGACAGCATCGTAGATCACATAAAAATGTTATAGTTCCAGAATTTTTATTTGATATGGTTGATTTAATATGGTTTAAAATTTTGTAAAGCCAAAAATAAAGACAGTAAATTTGTAAAAATACATTAATTTAAGAATTACTATGCTTCATGGTTCAAACATCCTGATTCGCCGCTTCTTATCACGTGACCCAAGTGATCTCATCTCACTAAACTATGCTACGAAAACTAATTCTTTCAGTAATTATCTACATTAATTTCAAGTTAAATCTTAATTTGGAATAAAGTTTAAATGCAAGAGTTTTCATTCGTAGAATAGCTATCAAATTATGTAAACCGCAGTGTTTTACTTCGTTAGTGCTATCATAGAATGAGAATTACCATGATTTGCCATTCGATCTTCGCTTCGGAGCATGTGATTGCATCCTATTGATCGCGAATGTTTAGGACAAAAAATTACTATCATATTAAAAATTCTGTGTATTGCAGTCAGTATTGAAAGAACATGAACTGATAAGAATGACTGGGCTGTTTGAATGAAGCGTAAACGGTTACCAGAAGATATTCCGTTTGGCATCAGTTGTACCATTATTGGTGACTTTATCATTTGCGCGGGCAAAACAGAAAAGTACCGAAAAATACTTTTAAATAACCGTGTTGGAAACTAGAAAAACTCCCTCTTTTTATACTGAATTTCACACATACTATTTACCTATTACACTTAAATATTTTTTAAAGGTAAGTCCTACAAAAAATTTGATGCTGTAAGCAATGAAGGCTTGTAAAACCATTGACAAAACAATGAACTATATAAATGATACAAAAAGACACTACTGAATATATCAAATTAACCACATGAAATTTGCTGGTGACATTTGGCAAATATTTTTTTTTTTTTTTTTTTCTTCAACATTTAAAACTTTAAATTGTAAGCCAATGGAAAAATAAATAAGAAGAAGGCTTGGGCTGCAATGGTTGGACAGTACCAACAGCTAATTTAACACTAAAATTACTAACTAGAAAAGTCTGGCCAAACATGGAATTCTAAGGAAAACTACGATCTACCTTGGACTATCATGCCAATAGAAGCAGAACTACCTCTGCTATATTGCATAAAATACCTTATAATACAACTGCAGGAATAAAAAATGGTAAAAGTTTACAATTGGGTGCCCGTTGTTTCTTAGCGATTCCTTTTTGACGCCAAGATTGGCACTTAGAAGTCACAATATCACGATGGCTCATACACAAAACCAAAATAAGAAGTCGAAGAATTGCACAAACTCTTGTCCATGTACACATCGATCTGTTTTTCACTAAAAAAAGTCCTAGGATTGCCACAAAAACTAGGCATTGCGCACTGCCTTAAATTTGCCAATGTACACATCAATCTATTTTCATTTAAATAAAATCAGAAAGCTAAAACAAAGTTAAAACTATCATGGTAAACAGATGTGAGGTTTCATCGCCAAAATTTTTAAAAAATTGTCGCTAATCGAAGGGGCACTCAATTCTACACTACAGCCTAAAAAATAGTTAGAAAGGATAAAATTAGCTATGCCAGTGTGATCAAAAGAAATAGTATAAATTTATTTAAAATATATGCACTAAGTTATTATCAAAGATTAATATGGGAAAGAAAGAAAACTTCTTTATATTCACTAATGAAAACTGTAAACAACATAAAAGATATCCAAATTACCTGGTTTATTCAGCAGCTGATAACCACAAGCAGGACCAAATTACATATACTAAATCGGCATATTAATATTAAACAAAAATGCTATATATAATTTATAATGCTGGCCTTTGAACAATAAAATGTTAGTTTCACTTACACTTAGATGATATTTCTTTAGGGTGGATATATTTAAAAACTTTTTGTAAACTTGTGTAGCTTAAATAATTTGCAGATAAATTTCATATTTTTAGAATTAAAAATTTAAATCGATTGTAAATTTCTAATTTAAATTAACAATGGTTTTACACGAAACAGTGCTCGTTTTAAATGCATAATTAATCTAATCTACTAGTACTTCAGTATAAAGCACCGGTAGTATAGTTTAGTATACTACCGGTACTAATATTAGTGATATGCTTCTACTGCAACTGCTAATCCAACATACAGCTTTTAGCTAAGAATTGTTAATTCTTTCATAAACATTATGCTGAATAACTCATAATACCATTACACCAAAGCCATAACAAAATTGAAAAAATGTGTCAGTACATATGGTATATTAACATATATCATAAATTTATCAGTACAAACAGAATTTATGTCTTTACAAATGCATAACAGATGAGAAACTTCACTATATAAATTTGGTATTATACAAACATAACAGACCTTGTCTTGAAAGTAAACAAAAGACAGCACATCTGTACATTACAATATTTAAAAATTAATTATTAACTTTAACTTGTACATATCAATCCTACACTACACCTGCAAAGTATTTTCTTACAAAATGTTTACAGTGAAATTATGCTCTCTTTAAAGCTGAGCTGCAAATTAATGCTAAAAATGGCATCATAAAGATGCTTATAAATCATGTATCGGATCATCACATTTTAAGACGATTTACATTCCCTTCAATAGTGCAAACACGTTTTTCTAAGCAATATTAAAATATGAATAAAGTACATAATAAAATATTGCCCTTTCAATCATGGTTACTTAATTTATGTGAATAACCAGCGACCCTAAATAATTAATCAGAATTGCTTTTTATTTATTTTTTAAGAATGCACATAATATAAACACACTTTGATCAAATGCACATAACTGCGTTTTACGAAGCTAATGCATAAACTATAACAACTTTCAGTTACTTTGCTTTCGATGTTTACCAGACAGAAAATAAAGTTAAAAGAAAGCCTAATATGTTTCTCGAAATACGAAAACATGACGATTTCATAAAACAAAGCCAGCAACATCAGAAAAATCGTCTAACACAAGTAGATTACGGCTCATGTGATACACCTTCTCATCGGAAATGAGATAACGTATACAACGAAATATTTTCACAGACCTGGCATAATACAATAATAACAGATACGTGATCAATCAAATTTAAAAAGTTTTTTAAGCTAATAAATAAAATAATTAGAACATACCATTGGCCGCCATGGTAAAAAGGCTGAATTACAGAAAAACTTTACGTTGCCACGAAAGGCACAAATCAAAGAGACGTGAAAAAGATAATGATGCCAACTCATATTTTTTAATGTAGATAAATCAGTTTCATGACATAGGTGTTAGGAACACAAATGCGATCATGACTTAACTGCAGACACAGAAACAAAAGTAGCCATGGGAAATTCTTATTTTAATATACAATCCAAAACCTATCATATTTTCTGACCAAAAGATCTGACTCCTTTTCCGCTAAGAGAAAATTCTTCAGTCAAAATCAAGAGTGTTCGGAACAAGGAGATTAGAACAGAAACTTCACGTTTAATACCTCCCTGAAGACAATAATTTCTGCGTTTAAGGGTCCAGATGGGATATCTGCGTTTAAGGATCCAGAGCAAGCTGAAACAAGCTCGTTTCGCTTATAGATACGCTAAAATCTCAATCGTATACTTTGGGGTAAAATTTTGTACTTTAAAAAAATACAGTTATTTACAAAATAACATGAGTCACAAAATACAGAAAAAGTCATTTGCACTAAAGTTTCGTGACAGATAAGTTGCTAATAATTAAACTAAAGTTATTATAAAAAGGTATGTTCAGAATGAAAAACTATACATCAACTAAAATAATTTTATACTTCATGAGAATGAAGAAATTAAATTAATGAAAAGTTTATTTCTCTGTTCGTGTGAAAGCAAACTCATGGAAAATATACATTCTTAATTACCATAAGTGTTACCCTTAATACTATTGTTCATAAGTATAAGTATTACTGATATCTAATGGATATCCGAATTTGATTTAACTGTCAATAATCTTGATCTAGATCTTATACACTCAACGCAAAACTCTATATAAAATATTTCATAATGTAATGCTATAAAGATCCTTAAAGTATCAAATCATTTATTTGAAAATTAATGACATTATAACTTTTAACAATGGAATAAATCTTTCACTATTTTTGACAAATCAGGTTTATAATTGCTACAAGCTATTCTTAATATATCATCCAACTGAGGGATGTAGGGCCGTATCCTTCTACCGTGCGACGAGATCTCGATAAGTAAGCAAGCGACTCCTTCTCGTTCGACTGCTTATAACGATTGAGCGAGAACTGGTATCCTCAAGCGCCTGTGCCGTGCGAAACGTTAAGGCTTTCGCCGATCGAAAGAGGTATTAGCTCCTCCTTCGCACCGTCCACATTTTGACCTCAACTATAGACAAAACCAAGAGAAGAAATGTTGAAAAATAATCGTTCTTATTTTTTTTTTTTTTTTTTTTTTTTTGTAAACAGATTGAAGCAAGTATTTTTTCCATTCTGTTAGAAGAGCTGCATCCCGGAAACTTTGTCAGTTAGAGGGCCGTATCCTCCTACGTGCGAGAGATCTCGGTCGAGGTGACGCAGCAAGGACTCCTTCTCTCGATGGATTAAAGATTGAGCAAAATGTATCCAAGCGCCTCTAAGTACGAACGTTAAGGCTTCGGCTATCGAAGCGCAGGGTAATCGCACAGACGTAGTGCTAATGATTAACACACCACCCGACCCACAATCGCAGAGAGCCAGCGTTTACGCCGATCGTATATGGTAGGCCGTAGCGAGAGCGAAGATTGTACCAACTCAGCAATAGAAAGGGGTCAATTTTGTCACCAGCAAGAGAATAATTGCAAGAATAATCTCGGTTACAAAGACGAAGTCAATCCATATAAGATAATGTTAGAACTGATTAGATAAAATAGGGATAAGATGGTCTATTTGCCGAAAGGATGTGTAATAGCTAAAAATCTAATGTATGACAAAAGCTACAGAAAGTACTTAAATTTTTATTAACAAGAAATTTAGCAAACTTAGACTTAGTGTATAGCATGGACTGTCAGAATATTATTCAAAAGAAACTAGTGAAATATAATATTTTAGATATTCATCACTTTTCAGTATCACTCATGTTATAGGTTAAAATGCCATATTTAAAGTTATTATGAAATAAACCTTACAAAATATGATAAATCATTTGTGTGTGCAAATTTTTAAATCAAAAACTCTTACATAAATATTTCTGTATTTTAAATTACATCTCCTTATTATTTCAATTTAATTTTACTGTGTTTGTACTATATTGCAACGTTATTGAAGTATTTTGGTCTGAAAATGCCAAGTACTTCCATAAAAAAAAAAAAAATAAGAGGTATACAGATTGTCAAAACATATTATATATTATTAATAGGGTTAATAGCTTTAAATCATTCATGTCTAATTTTCTACACAGAATCCTCGGTTAATTTTTATATCTTTTCGCACGAAATTTCAAAGAGTTGAATCTAGAGACTCGAGGCTGATGGCAAAAACATTTTGAAGCTAAAGTATTCGAAAAAGTACAAAAAATGTAAATAACATCACCCCACTAACAGTCATTAAACTATTCCAACGTTCCGGAAAACGATACAAATGGCGAACATAAAAATCACTCTTTTTAATATACTTAATAAAAAGAATGTTTCCTTTATAAGAAAAAGGAACCATGCCTTTCTAACTTTGAAATCGCAACGCTTTTAAAAATGATAGACGACACCAAGGTATCCCCGCCTTTTAAAAAAAAAAGTTCGAGCAGTCGGACGTGGAATCCGTTACGGATCTGCCAATCATGGCAGCGGGTAATGGTGGGAATAGTTAACCTTTTGAAGACGGATGGCCATTCTAGTGGCATAAAGTCTAGCTTGAAAGACGGGGTTGTCCCTTTAGTGCATGCTTTTCACCCCATTTCAGCTGAAAAGTGGAGTGAAAATGTCAAATTGACGTCCATGGGGTTCAACACTTATCTCTTTCAAAGGTCTCCTTTGCGACTAGATGCACCCTCTGAGAATCCATAAATACCACAAGAAGCTTTGTGCAATAGAGGTTGATTTTAAAGGGGAAAGCTTTCGGTTCCGATTCCCGTCCTTCGTAGATTTACTGCTACCAAAGCCGATGTGGTGCAATAGCATGGCCGATCGAAAGAGGTATAGCTTCCCTCGCCCGCCCACATTTGACGTCAAACGATAGTACAACAACCATGAGAGACTTGTAAAAAATTCGTATCTTTAATTTTTTTTTTTTTTGGTGACAGATTTGTAAAAACGTATCTTTTTTCCTTTGTTTAGAATAAAGTGTCATCCCGGAGAACTTTCGTCATTAGAGATATTGTGTCTTCAGGAAAGCACCATGAAAGATACTATTTATAATATACACACATGATATTTATGTATATTATTTAGATTTCTGTATCATTCCCATGACCTTTCTTACAAGAAATTAGGATCATAAATAACAAATTTTGTGTAACCTTGTTATTGAAGTTCTTTAGGCAGTTTCAAGTTTTTAATCTAAGATGTACAAAATTTGTTTTTTATTTATTATTTTTTACAGTTATCATTCAAGGAAAAATCTGCTGATTCTACACAAATTTTCGTTTAGGTCAGTGATTAGATAGATTATACACTTTTTGGTACCAAAAATATCTACATATTTTTAAACAGAATAGAAATTCGATTATTTATAGTTTCCATTAACAGCAATATCTTGCAGCACAATCTGAAGATATATTTCAATCATTTATGTATAATTTGAATGACTAAAAAAATTGAGGCTAAAAAATATATAATTTAATTATGAATACCTAAATTGAAATGCAAGTTTTACATGTAATGCAACCTTTAACTCTGTTGTGGGTTGTTTGCTCGATTGCTAGAGACTCTGAATGTAGATTCAGTATTGTGTTGAGCAGAATGATTCATGTGTTTGGACAAAACAGAAGCAGATGTTCAAGTAATATTGTTAGGGAATTTGCAACGGAAAAAGAATGTAATTGAAAAATGTACTGCGGAAACAAGAAAAGGAAAATATTAAATATACGAAGAAAATAAAAAATTAGGTAGTGTAGAAGATATTAAAGTATGTTTTTAAAACTAAATAACTCAAAACGTTTCAGGTTATACTTGTAGTTTGTCTTTTTTGGTAAATAGCTATAGAAGAGCGATTAATTTACTTATATCTCAAATATGTTGTGAAAAATATAGCTAAGGAAGTTTTATGTGCATAGGATAAAAGGGGAAAAAAGGCCTCAAATTAAAGCGGTTTTAAAGCAAGAGTAAATAATAAAACACATGGTCTATTAACCCCTCAAAAAAGTTCGTTTAGTACTCTAAAACAATCCAAAAAAATGCATCATAATACATAAAACTCTACAAAATAAAACAAAAAAGGGGGGAACGAGAGGAATAAAATATGTAAATAATTCTCTTTAAAAGACTATTAATTCTTGAAAGAAGAAAATATGTGATTAGAACCGCTCTTTTATATTTGCTAACAAAGAAGCGTAAAATATATGAAACATCACATTATGAAAAATCTTGCAAGTCATTGCAATACTATAAGACATTGATTAGCAAGGTAAACATCGTGTACATTCTTTACAGTAGCAATAACTTTTTATTCAAAATCTTAATACGCTAAAACACATTCGAGGTGCTAGATATCAAGGTCACACAAAGTAAAATGCATTAGAGACCTTGAGAAATTTATGAAACAAGTCATTTTGAAACAAATTGGTCTCTGCAAAAGTAACAGCAAATTTAACAAAGCATGTAATGGAAATTTAACATTACATTTAAAGCAGCTAGTTATTTAATTACAGTACCAGGTATTAAATCGAATGGTGACACCTCTGATAAACGCCCTAACTCACAAATGGTGTACGATATGTGTGTTTGCGCTGGTTTTGGCGCGATGGTGTTGTGTGCACCATGTCGACGTTGAAAAATCTTTTGGTGGAGTAGTTTAATTGCTAGTTCGTTCATGTCGCATGTGTTTTTGAAATGGCCTATGTTGCGATGAAAGACATGGTGGAAAGGTTTCAGCCGCGTATTTTAGATTGTGTGCAGAGTAAATTTTGTATGAAAAGGTACGATGTTGGAGTTGTTAACGAGTCTTTTGTTCATGGATGAATTTATGGGGATCGTAGTATATTTTTGGAATTTCTGTGGGAGTTGGGACTTTTAAAACGGAG